TTTCTTTTTATTTCTTTTTATTTCTTTTTATTTCTTTTTATTTCTTTTTATTTCTTTTTATTTCTTTTTATTTCTTTTTATTTCTTTCTTTTTATTTCTTTTTATTTCTTTTTATTTCTTTCTTTTTATTTCTTTTTATTTCTTTTTATTTCTTTTTATTTCTTTTTATTTTTTTTTATTTCTTTTTATTTCTTTTTATTTCTTTTTATTTCTTTTAGGCTGAAGGTACATTGGCTCAACTTAAAGTTTCATGGAACGAATATCTTTTCAATGTTATACTTCCACAAGCTTGGGCAAAGTTTTTAAATTGTCTTCCCATCGAAGTATCTGACATAAACTCCAATGATTTTTATACTTTTTGGCCAATTGTTAAAAAATCCGATCCTGGAGGTTTTTTTAATAATCTTTTATCAAATACTATTAAAAATTTAAAGGTTACTGATAAAGTTTTTTGTGGCCCTCCAAAATCTTACTCATTTGGAAATATGTCAGGTATATTACCATTGGGTCAAAAGATCTTTAAATCTTATGAAACTATGTTTCATTTGTTGTCAATTGAAAATGGCTTCTTTCCAGATGAATCTGCTCATCCTATTGTTTCAAAAATTCTGGAAAGCATAGGATTTCCTATAATTAATATTGATTCTAAAATATACAGTGACTTGAAAAAATCTTATCATGTAGATTCTTTAAATATTTACTCCCCACATGTTATTAGAATGTATCTTATTCAAAATAAATCAAAATGGGAAGACTTAAAAAGAGATGATATTTTATCTTTATTTGAATATTTACTAAAAGACAAAAATTATGCTGAATTAGATGGTCTTACAATGATTCCGTTATCTGATAAAACTTTTGGAACGATCTCACAGCAGGAAAATTTGGACTTTTATATTTATGATAATTCTATTGGTGATAATGATGAGCGAAAAATTTTTGTAAATCATTTGAACAAATTTATTGATAAAGACATTCCTTCTGAATTATGGAATCTAATATACAAAGGTGCTCAAGGAGGATGGAACCTCAACATTAAGATTCTGGTTCCATCTGTAGTAGCCAACATGATTAAAGATGAATTAAGTGGATATTCGGTTGAATGTGATGAGATTCCAATAGGCGACACTTATAATTGGATTTTTAAAATTTGGACGAATTTTAAAGAAAGGGATTATGATCTGACTGAATTTGAAGATATTCATTTATTGCCTACTAATATTGGAACTCTTAGGAAATTAAAAACCAATCAAAGATGTTTTTGGAATAGTGTCGATAAAAAACTTGACAATAATGTGCAGCCTCTTATTGAGAAACTTGGAATCGTTTTTGTTAATAAGGAATTTGAAAAACTTATTACTTATAGTCATTCAAAGTACTGTTACATCTCCATTTTTTTTAAAAAATAAAGTTGACTCTCTCTAAGTGCAGCTTGTAGAAATACGGGATTTTATAATGTACATTTAAAGAACAAATAAAAAAAAAAATTGAATTTATATAGATCGAGTATATATTAGGGCCAAAATGTTGCATTAGAGAGAGTTTACTATTTTTATAATCTAATCTATTTTTATGTCGAATTTTATATCAAATTTTAATAATTTTGATGATTTTTTATTAGGTTATCAAATTACGTAATTGGTCTTGAAGACTTAACAGAGGTTTTGGTTTCTTTAAATGTAGTTGATACATTTCCAAAAAATGTTCAGATAAAACTCAACGCTCAAGAAGCAGAAATAATTATTGATTATTTACGCAATTTATCCCCTAACAAATCTATTAATGAAGTCATCAAGTATCTTCCAATTTTTTCCGAGATTGGCAAAAAAGAACTTATCGCACTTAAGCCCAGTGAAAGAAAATGGTATTTATTACCTTCTGAAGACGAAAAAAACTATGGAAAAATAATTGCACCAAATACCGTAGGATTTCTTGATATATCAACACCTAACAAAAGATTTCTTTTAGAAAGCATTATAAAAGTTAGTCGACTATCACAACAAGAATATTGGACTGAATTTGTGATCCCATATTTGGAAAAACAAACGCCTACAACACTTGAAATTGTAATTATAAAACTTTTTGAACGGTTACAACTTCTCCTTTCAGAAAATCCGAATTTAAAATCTGCTTTGGGAAATACAGCGTTTATACCAACAAGTGCGATTCTTAATATACAGGAAAAAGAAAATCAAGAAATATTTTTTGAATTAAAAAAACCTACAGATTTATTTGATATTGATAATCATTATATTTCAGGATTATTTTTTGATGATGAGCATCTATTTCCTGCCAGAAATTTCTTAGAGAAGTATCATGACATCTTTTTGACACAATTAAAAACGTCGGGAATGAAATTATGGCTTTCTTCAAATGATATTATTCAACGTCTAGATGTGTTTGCCAAACGAAAGAAGGATGAATTTGATATTGTGCATAAAAAGTCTCTGAATCTAGTTCAATACATTGATAAAAATTATGATAAACATTTAGATATAAATCAATTATTACAGACTAGAGAATGGATACCAACAATTGATTTCGCTGGTAAAAAATTATTTTCTAAAGTAAATGAATGCCGAAGCATAAAGTATAAAAATTTAGTCAGACTGGTAATGCCAACTATAGAATATACTTTTGAGAATAAAATTTTCATTGAAAATATGCAATGGGATACTTGTCCACCCGTTGATATTGTTCTCGCTCAACTTAAGACTTGTTCATTAATGGAAACAATACATGAAAACACTCCCAAAATATGTGAAGAGATTTATAAATATATGAATGAGAAGATGAAGCAAAATTCAAATTTGGATAAATTTAAAGAGAAACTTAAAGATGAAAAATGGATTTTTGCAATGGTTACTTTTATCCAACATACAAAGTTGTGATCGAACTTGATAGAAACTTGAGCAGTAGCAAATTTGTACTCGTTGAACTTCCTTATGCATTTAGACCATACGAAAATTTATTTAAAGCAATGGGTGTTAAACAAAAAACAGATATCCGTCACTTGATAAAAATTATAAAAGAATTCCCTTCTAATGAGGCTATGTCGAGTGAAGAATTACGTGATGTAGTATCGGCTATTGAACTAATTGCAAATAGAGTTAATGAACAAAGTGGTAATCGTGAAATTTTAACAGATTGTCAACTAGTGAATTTATATGAAATTTATTATGATGATATGAAAACAAGGTTGGATGATAATGAGAAAAAGGGATTAAAAATAGTTCATTCTTTGATTTCTTATTTTGCTGTAAAAACTCTCGGAATAAAAATGCTTGCTGGTAAATTTGTCGAATGTAAGTTGATTTGCTGATTATATTGATTATGCTATTTCATTATGTTGAAAATGTTTGATTATGTGCTAATTTATTATGCGATTAAATTCTTATTTAGCTAATTATTCAAAAGATTATGGAGATTATGGAGAGATTCATGGTCAAAGTGAACAATTAGCTGTTAGAATAAATAATATCATTAGTGTAAGTATAATACAAGTAAAAAGGCTAATTTTCTATTAACTTTATTATGCGAACACCTTACAATTTATAATTCCGCGCGGTAAAACAAAATCAGTGCGCAAATTTTTGATGTACAGTTTTAACCATGCGAAATATTTATCTATATGTTTTTTTTTTTTGATATCTTTCTGCGCACTACAAAAAAATTGATTTTTTTTGACTTTGTTCTGCACAGCAAAAAAATATTTTTCCGATGCCATTTTCCCAATAGGCCAGTTACTTGACATCACACATGCGACAATATATGTGTTGTCAGGTAAATGCCATAGAGAAAAGATTATCGAAAAAATGATTATAATGCAATAAATAGTTCATAATTTAACCATTTACCCATTATAAATTTTAGGATTATTCAATTGAATCATTATTTACTGAATTTCTACAGGTATGGAAAACAAGTGCTTTTTTATAATATTATTTATGTTTGTAATTTTAAAATTGATATTTTTATAGAATGCGGATGATGCTGGAGCAAAAGAAATTTGGTTTGTAATTGATCATAGAAAATGTAATGAACTGACTTTTAATTTGCCCGACAAAAATGAAGACAGGCAAAATTCATTATTTTCTGATGAAATGAATCAATGGCAAGGACCAGCCTATGGATATATAATGATGCAAATTTTACTTCACATGATTTTGAATCCATAAAGAAACTTGGAATGGGAGGAAAGAGGGATGATAAAACAAAAATAGGAAGATTTGGTATTGGTTTCAATTGTGCATGCCATTTGACTGACTTGCCTAGCTTTGTAATAAAATTTACTGCATTAAATGTGTGATTTCTAAATATTTAAACAATAAACTAATTCCTTTTAATTATATTTTAAAATAAAGGTTAGTGGAGAGCACATAGTTTTCTTTGACCCACTACAAAAATTTTTGCCAAAAACTGGAAATCCACCTTCAAGTCCTAGTGGAATAAAACTTAATTTTATTGATAAAGATTTCAAAAAACGATTTGAAAATCAAGCATCTACATATGCCGGAATTTTTAATTGTGAATTTAAAAAGAAATTTAATGGAACTTTATTTAGATTACCTCTACGAACAGTACAAAGTGAAATATCAAGTCAAATAATAAACTCAAAGGATCTCAAAAGCAAAATATTTGAAAATATACAAGGAAGTCGCGAGATATTATTTCTAAGAAATATTGAACAATGCAGTTTGCATCAAATGAATGAAAAGGGCAATCTAGATTTAATTTGGGAGGCAAAGATTCAGAATATGAATGATATTCGTGAACTACGCACTTCTCATTCATGTGAGACAAACTATTTCAACTCGAAATGGAAATACGTTGTAGACAAAACCTATTCAATAAAAACAGGAAAAGTTCGGAGATTTGGCTAATCTGCACTGGTGGAGATGATGATGATGGTGATTTGATAGACAAATCAAAATCTGAAGAAAGTTATAAAGAGATTAACCTTGCAGTAAGTAATCACTCAGATTATGGTAATTTTGTGTTAAATAACTAACTGGTTATATTTAAGGCAAGAGGTGGTGTTGCTGCGTTATTGTCTATAGGAGAAGACAAATCGTTGAAAGAGCTTAGAGCTAAAAAGGTAATATAACTATGTATATTATACCATAATGATACATGTGATAACTTTGTTAACACTTAATCTATTAGTCTTCCAGCATTCCATCACTCAAGGGAAAGGTTTATTCTTATCTTCCACTACAAATATCTGCACCTTTTGGCGTTCATATCAATGGTGCATTTTTCCTATCAAGTGATCGAAAGAACATTGCGTTACAAGCTAATAACGATTTTATAACGGCAGAAACTGAGGTTGAGAACACAACATCTCAGAGTATGCCCAGGCGTAATATCATCGAAAAATTTTTGATAAAAGTCCGGCTTAAAAAAGATAAATCAAAAGATGAATTAAAAGAAACAGAGGAAAATTTCTTAATTTCTCCAACTCTATCTGAAACAACAATAAAAGGAGTATGGAATAGTTATATTTTGTTAGATGTCTTGCCTAAACTACACGCCAAGCTTTTAGAACACATAACTAATCAATTGATGTCACCATTTAATGATCAAATTATTTCACAATTGTGGCCAATAACACCTTCAACGTCAAGTATATTCAGAGAATATGGGCTAAATGTGATCAGTCAAATACACTTTAAAAAGTATAAATTTTTTTGGTCTGAAGCAAATGGAGGCTCTCTTACTTCATTAGATAAGGCTTATTTTGTCGCCTCAAATGATTCAACTATTGCAGATTTTCTTATATCTCGAGGAGTAAATTGGGAAATTGTCAAAATATCTGAGGATAAATTGAATCATATTAAAGAGATGATTAAAAAAATGAATTATTCGCCTATCAATTCAATTACTCCAAAAGAAGTTTGTTCTTTGCTTCAAAAAAATCCAAATATTCTGAAAGTTGAAAACGAAAAGTTGCATAAAATATCATTTCAGTTTTTAAATTTTGTCATTCAAGACGACTATAAACAACTAAAGGGTTTACAATTACTACCACTCTGTGATAAATCCTTAGGAACTTTTGGTTCACAAATATATTACATTGCGAAACAAGAGTTACGGAATTTATTTCCTAATGCATTGTCAAAGTTTGTTGCTGATCTACCTTTGAATCTTCAAGAGATTTTTAAGGACAGATTTTTGCAATGAGCTCAAAATTAGATCTTTAAACGCAGATTCCACTATTGACTTACTAGAATTTGAACTAGAACGTGATAAAGAAATTGATTTGATACCTTCCGGAAAAGAACATTGGATTGGCAAAATACTGTCAATATTTACAGCACCGGATGCAGTATATGACTTTAATAGATTGTCAAGATATCCAATATTGTCAACTTGCGAACCTTATAATAAACTCGTTTTACCCGATCGGCTTAACCCTTTATTGATGCATTTTTCAGATCAACAAATGGTATCAATATTCATAAAGCTTGGTGTCAGATTCACAAAGATAAGTCTGCGTGATGATTGTAATCCAAATATTAAACAATGTATCTTGCAACCAACTACAACGAATAAGATTAAATCTCTAGAAATGGCCATTAAAAAACTTTCAATACCTTTGAAACAATTATTTGATGAAAAACTAGATGAAAATGATATTAAAAGGTTTAGATCATTTATCAAAAATGAGTTTATTACTGATAAAAGTAAGCATTAAAAAATTACCTTCTTATAATACATAACTTTATATTTATTAATCATATTTATTTAAATATAGGTGATGATAAAGATAAATTAATTCAATTTGTAAAAACCTTACCTATATGGCTTACTCAGTCAGGTAGTACTTGTATATCCGCTCAAGAAGGAATGTTACCTGAACCCGAAATTCTTTTATTCAATATTAAGGGAAAATCAAAAATTTTTCTTATAAAATCTAAATCAGACTTTTCCACATTGAGAAGTCTAGGCGTCAAAATTATTGATGCGGGGAAATATTTTAAAAAGCATCTGGACTTACAAACCATCAAATTGGATCAGGAATATATTGAATTTATAAAAGCGGTCCTTTCTTTAAAAAAAGATGATATTGAAAATTATTTATCACCGCTTAAAATGGTTCCCAATTATAATCTCACAGAACTTGTCAGAGCGAAAACTTTGTATGATATAGATGTACCACTTTTTCGTAAAATTTTTTGGAAAACAGGCAAATTTCCACACCCTACATTACAGGGGAATATTAAATGTTTAAATGTTCTAAAAAGAATGGGGTTAAAATCTCAAATCAATTCTCAGACGTTCCTTGAATGTGTACGTGAAATTGGTTCAAGAGTTCGGATATATGAATTTGATCTGCTAAAAAATGATGCAAAATTCTTAATAGAATATTTATATGAACACTTTACAACTTTAAATTTCACATTTGATCAATGGCAAGAGTTGATATCAATTAAATTCGTACCAGTAGATACGGATCTGGAAAGCCCATTAAACGAAACTGCTGTTGTTGTAACAACAGGATTTGAATCAATTAATTCTATATGCTATCAAGAGTATAAACTACTCTGTTGGACACAGTGTCCATTATTTTTAAAATCAATAGAACCACCAAATCCATTTAGAATTAAATTTCCTGAATTATGTCATCCTACAATTAGTATGATTTTTGATAATTTATGTTATGTCGCGAATAACATATCTCAGTCGGGAAATGAATCATGGAAATCACCAAAAGGAGTTCAATTAATTCCGGATATTGTAAAGATGACATATACAATACTAGAAGATCGACTTAAAAATAATGAGAATCTCGATAATGAAATAGTCTCAAATTTACAAACCCGTGCACTATTTTTGAATGGTAATGATCCTTTTATCGCTGAAAATTGGGTTGCAGGGAACATTCTTGTTTTCGGTGCACAGAAAGATATTGGGATTGGGATTCATACAGTCCATGATAATTTGAAAGGATTTGAGTTACTATTGAAAATAGCCGGGGATAAGGAAATCAAAAATGTTGAGTTCACTGTAGAAATACCAAATTATTCACAAAAAGAAGTGTTGCTTAGTGAGCTTTTAGAGAAATTTGAAAAACAGGATATTGCTAATGTTGAGTTTCAAATTTATCATAAAAGTGGTATTGAGAAAATCAAAGCTAATCTATATGTTCTTTCGGGTATATATTTACTTAATTTACCTTATATAATTGCTTATTTTATTTGTTATTTATTAAGTTATAAATTTACAGCTGCTTCGAAACATTTCGCATCACTTTGTGGAAAAATGGAGGAAGCTACAGGGCATCAAAAAGTAACTGTTCCCATCAGAGATGTCGAACCTACAGCATTTCTTGTTCTAATTCGTTGGTTACATGGTCAAACACTTGAAGAAGCTATTTCAGCAACTTTTAACAAGTCTCAGGAACAGGCTCAGAATGATATAGAATTAAAGGAACCAGAAACATCCCCAGAGGACAATCCCAAATATTTTTCAGCGCTCCCAAATCTACATCCAAAATGTTCTGATGTATTCCTCGTTGATTTGCTTAAAGCTTCACATAAATATAAAATTAATCCATTGAAAAATCAAGTTGAAGTAATGATAATAAAAAGATCTTATGTTAATATTAATAATGCAATTAAAATCAATAAATGGGCGAAATTGCTTAGTGCAAACCAACTTATCAAATATTGTGATAAATTTATAAATGAGAATAAATCGCTTTTTAATGGACAAACAGAAAAATGAAAATAAAAGAGACAAAGTAGATATATTAAAGGCTGTCTTATATTCTTAGCTCTTATATGTTTTGGTAGTTTCATTAGATTTATTCTCGAAATATCATAAGATTTGGATTAGTACTATGTATTATTTTTATATTAATTTTTATTATTTTTTACAGCTTTAAATTTTTAATTGATATTAATTAATATATATTTATATACCAAACACATATTATATATTTAGTTTACATTAGTGAATGAAACACTTATAGAATTTGTAGGTCCATGTAATAAATTTCAGAAAGGCATGAAATTTTGCAATGATTAAATGAATAATTTGTTAAAGCCAAAAAACAGTTTAATAATCAAAATATTTACGGATATCCGAATGGCCATTTTTGAACACAGGTATTTGTCAACGGATGTCCTATTCGAATAGCTATTTTGAGCGCGGATGACTACAGCATACGGAATTCCGAAATAACATCCGGATTCCAACACTAGTTTTTTATGACTTTAAATAATTTGCTTTACGCAAGTAAAATATAAAATACCTTTGTGTATTAATGGAAACGAAATAAATTATATTAAACAATATTTTAAAAGCTCAAAAATATAAATTTTTAAATCGTCTAAATTCCGTCAAAAGAAATTATTAACGAACGCAAAAATAGTTTCGTCAAGCATCATAATATGAAAAAAGGATACTTGTAATGCTTAAAATTACTGATATCCGAATAGTAGCCAATTAGAATACGTTGCCCAATAATTTTATTATTATTAGGTTAACAGGAACTGTTGTGAGTCCGATGTTAACATATTATTACTGTTATTAATATAAAATAAAAAGAGAAAAAAGAAAATTACAGATCTGATTTATTATCGGCCAATAAGAATATTATCACGTGGCAGACAGATGGACATCTTTCAATTAAAAGGTCTAGCTAGCCTATCACACTAAAGTCTCAATACATGTACGTACGTACGTACATGTAAGTCCTCACTACGCTTCGGATAATTAAGGAAGTAATATTATTGATGATTATGAAACACGCATATGGGCAAAAATTTTTAATACTGTATAATGTTGTGATTATTAAAAATTCTGCCCATATGTGGGTTGATAAGTAACTGATAAGTAACTCATAAGCAAGTCATAAGTAATTTTACAATCACTGGCAAATAATCACTTTTAATATTAGACCACGCAAAGTTAATTTTTCGTATTGCATTACATGGGTCGTCGGTTTTTTTTTTAAATCTACAATAATTAATAGACTCATTCACACGCATAATTAATTTTTCGCTTTGTATAACATGGAATCAGAAATTTTAAATGGCAAAATAGAACAATTAACACAATTGGAACCTAAAAAAAAAAAATCGAAAAATTAAAAAAAAATGGGTCTGTAAAACGAAAAATTAACTTTATGTGGCCTTAGTAATCACATTATATTATATATATTATTGGCTCAAATTCTATTTTATCTCAATTAATTTATCTGATTACAAAAATGAAGTTTTCCGCCCATATGTACTGTGAGCCGCAGAACTGTATCCCATAATTGAACCTAGGTGCCAATGCGCGGCAGATCCTCGATTTTGATTGGTTAAGAGCAACTATCAAAAAATTAGGCCGGAATTACTCATAATTTTACTAATGAAATAACAGCCGCCCATTAAGTGAAAATTGTCCTGAGTCAATTTTACCATAATGCAAGCTTATTTCTTAAAAATTTCTATTTTTGTAATGAAAAAATCAAAAAGTTAATTTTAGTCGGAAATTAGTAAACAATTATGTAATGCAGGCCAAAATTTTGAAGATCCTCGGCCGATAGCAATCAAAATCGAGGATCTGCGCTACTAGGGTAGAATCACCACCCAAAAAAAATTCAAAATCACGTGATGTACATCATTAATATCGTCATTATACGTATATGTATAGTTAGCAGATATTTAATATTTGTTTTTTCTTGTAAATGTAAAATTAAATGTCCGCAATGCTTGCATTTGGTATATATATTTATTTTGATTGGTATTACGTAAACTTTTCTTTCCTTTTTTTTTTCAAAATTATGAAGTGTGATCGTTGCAACCTTGATAGACCAAACGAAGCTTTTAAAAGCCTAAAGACCAACAAACACAAAAATGCTGATTCTACTAATCTAAAAACATGTGTTGATTGCCGTAATCAAATTTCAGCAAATAATAAATTAAAAAACAAAGAACGGCAAAATAAAGTCATAATAAGAAATCAAGAAAACGCGATATCACCAGAAGATATTGTGGATTTTATTTTTACTTCTCTTCCAGAAAATTATGATTCTGATGAATACCTATTTGAAAAAAGGTTTTTTATAATCCTAGAACCATTATTAAATACTGTTAATACAAATTCGGAAGATCAAGTAAATAAAGAAGTTGTGCAACACATTATTAACCTTATTTCAAAAGTGGATAGATTTTCCTGGATATATCATAAATTTCAAGTATTGAAAAATTCAATTTCATTCGTTTATTACTGTAACTGTCATGAAGAACTAAAAAATAAAAAAGCACGAGTTTCTAATATTCTAAATCAACGTGATACAATGCCAAGAATTGTTCGATATGCTTGTGGTGGCACAATTCAGATTAATATAGAGCAAAATCATAATTTAGCAGTAGTTAATATCTATCACTACCTTCATCCTCCACCTGAAGCAATGGAAGTTTCTCCACAAATTCGTAATTATATTATTAATAATAAACTATTAACAGTTTCGCAGCTTTACAATAATATTAAAGACGAAAAAATTAATGGATTCTTACATATTACTCGACAACAAGTTTACTATTGGTCTAAAAAGTTCACTACAAAAGAATATAGATTAGTAGATGATCAATTGGAATCAGCACGACAATATTTAAATAAAAATTTAAGTTTTAAACTTCTTTACCAAGATCAATATTCATTAGCTTTTTTAACTCCTTTGCTATTTATATTGCCAAGTAAAGCTACAAAAACTATTGTTGTTGATTCTACTTATGGGACAAATCGTTTAAAGTTTAAATTATTTGCAATTCTTGGAACTATAGATGGTACTGGGTTTCCACTATCATACTTTTTTCTTGAACCAAAATGCCCGTATGGTAAAACACATGCAATTGCAACATGGTTTAAAAGTTTAAAAGAAAATGGAGTTCAAAATGTTGAAACTATTTTAACAGATAAAGATCGTGGACAAATTACGGCTGCTAATAAAATTTGGACTAGAGCACAGATTCAATTATGTTACTGGCACGTAATACGTGCAATTAAAAAAAAACTCTCAAGCACTGGTATTGTGCATAATTATTATAATTCTCACGAAGCACATTTACTTTGTCCAACTATTAATCCTGCATGGCAACCAGTAAATCAAAACCAAACGTTTACTGATCTTACAAATCAGGAACATCTATCTAATAATAATGAAAAAAAAGTTTTTTGTCAAAAAAACTTTCATGAATCAATTCTTCAAATGATCTGTATTCACTTTTCATGGCATCCAATGATACCAATAATGCACTCATCAAATTTTTTAAATATGAACTAAATTTGGAATAAAAGCATCATAGAACAATACGACTATTGTTACAAAAATGATCTAAAACATGTTTGGGCCTATTTATGGACTGAGTGGTACTATCCTAAAATGTGGAAACAATGGGCTCATGCATCAACTCCAAAACTTCATATTTTGCGAAGCACAATGGCTATTGAGGGTCATTGGCGAGCCTTAAAACATGATTTTTTTTTCAAGTTATAATCGTGCACGACTAGATTTGATTATTTATATCATCATTGTAAAAGTTATACCACGTCAAATAGATTGGTTACAATTACTGCGCAATAATCGGAGTATGCCAAAATGGTGAGAAGACTTTAGACTTGAATGGAAGAAATTAACTACTGAAACAATTAATGCCAATTCTACTCATCTTACTGACTCTTCACGTTGGATCTGTTCATGTTATAGTTTTCTTTTAAGTCGCTTTCATATATGCAAACATTTAGTAAGAATTCATGGTCCTGTTGAACCCGGTTTTTTTAGAAAGGTACTATAAATTTATTATCTACTATCGCTATATTTATTTAAGCTTAAAAATTCTTACAATAATTTTTTTATTTTAAGGTAATACGTCAAGAGCATTATCCCATATTAGAAGTCAAAGAAGAGAATGCTTTTTCCGATTTGCCTGAAGACATTCATACCTTAATTAAAAATTTAAGTGATTCTAATCTACAAGTTAATAATCAATTTCATGAGCAAGAATTCCAAGTCCGTGAACAAGAATCTCAAGTCCATGAACAAGAATTTCAAGTCCACGAACAAGAATTTCAAGAATTTCAAGTTTATGAACAAAATTCTATTGCAGTTAATCCAAATGAATACTCAATAGATATTGCTGACAATAATCAAGATTTAATCTTGTTTCAGAACCGAAAAAAAGAAATATTTGACTTGTTAGATGAAACTAAAAATATTCTTGATAAAAATGTGGCAAATCCAAACAAATGGCTTGATAGTATAGAAAAAAACTTTGAACCATTGCGAAAATTAGTGAAGGATTGCAAACAGTTTGAAAGGAAAAATCATATTCCAAATACTTGGAAAGATCGCAATAATAATACATTCTGGTTATAATTGCCGAATCATGTTTTATTTTAATTAAATAAATAGTTACATGCTGCTATTCTATGGTAATCTTTATAATTTTATGTTATATTACGATTCAATTTATAAACGATTAGTATAAGTAAAAAGACAACATAGCACTGTATTATATTTCTGAAGAACGAAGAACTGGAAATGTTCAAAAATCTTAAAAGTTGTAAAGAACGTGTTAATTTTATAAACGTTCATCGGATAAAATAGCATTACCAACATAAACAAACAAACCTGCACAATTAAATTATTGAACCTCTTATCTGAGCAAAAGGCAAGCGTCCATAAATTGTGCTCATAATTGCGTATAAATATAATTAAAACTTTTATTATTTAAATTTTCGTACGTATATACAAGAAAATCAATTGATAATACGTTTATATGTTGTGAAACGTGATCGCATATCATGTGACTTCGAAACTTTTTTGGGTGGCGATTTTACCCCAGTTGTTAAAATAGCCGAATAATGTGTAATGTGATAATCATAGTCAAAATGATTATTACATCACACATTATTGACTATTTTGACTGGTCAGCGATCACTGATTTTTTCGCCATGACCCTTCTGCCAAAATTATTTTTTCTTCAAGATTATTAAAATTAAATATGATAGTCTAAATTACTAAGTGCATATGTATGTACGTACTTACATACTGACTATAAAATTTATAGAGTAGCTGTATAAAAACTGATAAGAGCTCAAAGTAATCTATATAAAAAACTGATAACTGATAAGTAACTCATAAGAAATTTTTTTTAATCTCAGTAGTCACGCATATGATTGGATCAAAAAAATTTTATGCATATCTAGAGGTGGGTTTCATGTGTGCGCATGATTCCTCAATCATGCGCATTAAGATTTTATATAGAAAAATTAAACTATAAAATAGGTATGATAAACATTTTAATAAGTGTTAAATTGATCTGATCTGAATTATAAGATCAAATTTTGATTGTCTATCTAACCAGAATTAGAATTTTTCTATAACACAAATACGAATCT